GCACATGCTTTTCATTTTGTTGTTTGGCTATGGCACGAAATACTGAAATATCATGACTATGATAGTAGAGCAGGTAGTATGCCAATGAATGGCCTATATATTCATCTGTAGCAGTGACTGCTATTGAAAGTTTAATATTTTCATGGGTTGTTGACCTTGTAGGTTTTGATGTTGGTTTTGATTGGTTTTTATCTATGGCAGATGAAGTTGTTAGTATTCTTGTTGGTTTTGATGAGGTTAATTTAGGTTTATTGGTGTTGATAGTTGATAATGAAGAAGAAGATGAAGATGATGATGATGGCAATTTTAAATCAGTAAATGTAGCATTACTATTATTTAGTAATAATGATTTGTTGTTTTCTTTAGTGAATCTAATATGTTGGTTTCTATTATTTTTGGTGGATGTGAAAAGAACAGGTTGACGTGAAGTTTGTTGTTTATCTTTAATAGCAAGAGTTTTTTTGGCGTTTGCAGATAAACTAGCTACAAAACTAAAGCAAAATTATTTTTAAAATATTGCTGCTGGCTTTACTAATTCGACAACTATTATATATATGTAAATTAAATTTACATTTACAACTTACTCGTCTAATCTGAAATCAAATTTTATTTTATAAATATCAAAAGATTTTCTTGAAGCAATTCTAACCGCTTCTTCTGCATCTGTAGCACCTTCACGTATTATTAATTCCAAGGCGTCAATATAAATGTTCAATCCATTAACATTATCTTCCAACATTGTTAAAACCATCCCCGCTACACAAGCCCTCATTTGTTTGTTTTGACTCCGCATTGCTTCTTTAAATGTTGGCATGAGATTTGATGATTTTGTTTCACGGATTATTGTCCCTAAACATTTGTTTGCTCTTTTGATGAACACTTTATTTGTACGATTGAAAAGTTTTAGGATGCTGGGTACAAATATTTCAGATATTGATATAAATCTTGGACCGAGTGCTTTGGCTATTTCTTCAACCAGTTCAATTGCCGTGCTTGATAATTTCGATCTTGTCGTAAGTACCTTTATAAAATCATTATAAATATAAATGTAAATCTGAATATAATATCCTTATTAAATTGATTAATAAATAAAATATTTTTATTAAAGAATAATAGGTTTACAGAATTTTGAATTGGGTATCTTAAAGATTTTATTCCAGCAATATAGCTTCTTTCATAATGAGAAACACCTTTGCTAGTGATTTCAATTAATTGGCTTAACGCATTATCAAATTTTTCCCAATTATGTTCAGATTCTTTTTCTTCGAATAATACTAAAGTTTTATTCACTACTGATTCAAATCGTAAAGCATCACTCTTATATTAAAAATAAATATATAAGTATATATATATGTATGTAAATAAGATTATCAAATAGATTTTTTTTTTTTTAATTATTACTTTTGCATCTGTTTGATTCCCAGTCATTACATACAATACTAAGATCAAAAATGGGTAAATGGTAATTAAAAAAAATGACAAATCTATATTTTTTTCAAAATAACCGATTAAAAAACGCGTATTAATTAATATTGAGTGATGTTTTTTGCACCCAAAATGAATCACGCGACATTATCTTACATAACAAAAAAGTCAACAACGTGACCCCCCGAAACCGGTCACGTGAAAAGGACAGGGGACAGGAATTGTGGCAGGTGCCCTGTCCCCTGTCCTTTTCAATAATTACTCCCGAAATCTATAAAAGGACAGGTTGCGGGATAGTAATTTTCTTGAAAACATTAAAAGGACAGGGACAGGTGTAGCACGAACAATAACCTGTCCCTGCCTTTTTTCATCTTTTAATATGGAAACCTTGAAAAGGACAGGGGACAGGTTTACTGTGCTACTCCTGTCCTTATGTAATATCTTAAAAAGGACAGTTAATAAAATTACTATTAATTATAGCAAGTTTTCTTGTTAATCGTACATTAAAAATTTGTTTGACAGTTTATAAAATTAACAATTGAATTGTTATTATTAAAAAATGCATTATATGGTTTGCAAAAAATTGAATTATTCCGTTTTTGTTAGTGAGAATCTTCACAATTAAAAAATACAATGTGCTTTGTTTGACAGTTTTGATTAGTATTAAAATTAACGAATCCCATCTTAACATTAAAATTATCTGATTTGCAAAAAATTGAATTATTCCGTTTTTTGTTAGTGAGAATCTTCACAATTAAAAAATACAATGTGCTTTGTTTGACAGTTTTGATTAGTATTAAAATCAACAAATCCCATTTTTATCTTAACATTAAATTAACAATTGTGTTAATTATTAAAAAAGGCATTATCTGATCTTAATCTGGAAAAAATTGAATTATTCTATTTTTTGTTAGTAAGAATCTTCATCCATTTTTATCTTTAACATTAAATTAACGAATTAATTGTTTATTATTAAAAAGGAGCTGTTCTCAATTTTCATCTTAACATTAAATTAACAATTGAATTGATTGTTCATTATTAAAAAGGAAACTGTTCTAATTATAATTATCCAATTTTCTCATGGCTACAAATATTCCGTTTTTTAAAAACTAATCTAATGATAAGAAAATTTGCTAAAAAAATTAAAATTATTTGTTCTATAAATTCATAGATAAAGATTCTTTATAAAAAAAAGACTTGGTCGGGATTTAAAAATTTTCTAAAATTAATTACACGAACTAAATTCTAAATCGTCAGAAATCTTTATCTATTACTATATAAATGAAAATGAATAAATTTAATAAATTTGCAGAATTTATTAAAAAATTCGAGGAAACAATTAGCCAACAAGGTAATTTATCATAATTTGTTGCTTTTATACATGTATATATTTATTATCAAATAAATTAATTTTTTGATCATAACTCAACTGTAGAATCTGATCACGCCTGTATTAATTCCCATGGAGATGAAGGTAGTAACTATCCACATTGGCCTTGTGGAAACTTGATCTTCAAATATGTTACTAAGCCAAAAGACTGGTTACAGAGCGGATGGGCTTTTGATTGTGTAGAATCAAGAAGAAATTCCACCTATAATGCACAAGTAAATCTTAAACGGTGCTTGGGAACAATTGAATGTTCAAAATGTAGTGCACAAGTCAGGCCAAAAATTAAAGATCATGGGGAGAAAATAGGAGAACAACTTCATAATGGCTGTTCATTAACCAATTGTGATGGTATTATTAATTTACTTTGAATTCAAATTCATAAATTATATAAATTCTGAAATCTATTAAAACTTTAGGATCTTTGAGTCTGATAGAATGTTCAGTAACTTGTAAATTTATTACACTGGATGAGCCTGACGAAAGTGGATACAGATTTTTATATTTACACCAAGGACATCACCATCATCAAAAAACACTGTTAAAAAAACCATTTAATCATCAGCAAGACAAATTAAAAAAGCGCGTCCAAACAGCTCCTGATGTCTTGCCACAAAAACTTCTAGTGGGACAATCCTTGGATGTTAACCACCCATTAACTTCAGTTAGGAATATTTCTGAAGCATTTGCAAATAATGATCGTATTGCTTATTATCGAAGAAAAATTATAGACGAAGAAAATATTATCACTAAAACTTCTCGAAAGAGTGGAGATAATTTTCTTACTGATATCTATCAATTCCAACAAGAGCATCCCGAATTCATTCGCAACATAGATTTAATGAAAAAAGGAATCATTACACTTCAATCTGAATGGATGAAAAACCAAAATCTTAGTACCTCAGCTATATTGAATGATAGCACCTACAAATACTTCACTAATGCATTTCTGGTAACAAGGTATGAGATAATTTTTAATGTCATTATATTTTAATTATCTTCTATTAATTTAAATAATATTTAATAATAGTTCGATATATTGTGAGGTACTTCAAAGATGGATCCCTGTTTTAATATCAATAATTTATAAAGAAGATTCTGTTCACTATCAAGCACATTTTTTAAGTATTTGATAGAATGGATTGATGAGTGTAATAATCCCACTAATAAATATGCTCTAGTTATGGACTTTAGCTCCGCTGAAAGGAATGGATTTCTGCAAGCTTACATTGAACATGGATTAGAAAAATATCAAAATAAAAATTCTTCATTGCCGATGCCTTTGATAGAGTCACATAAAGAATATTTGAGAAATGAAGCTAAAACACTATTGAAAGGCTGCGTAGAACACTTTAGACAATCAATTACAAGAATCATGCAGTTGTAAAGCATGAAACATCAAAAAAATTTGAATCAATTGCATTAGAACTTCTAGAGATAGATGAAAAAGAAGAATTTTATAAATATGTTAAAATTATTCAAGAAACTTGGCCCAATACAACATCATGGCTGGAATGGTGGGTTTATACAGATGCAGGAAAAATGCTTTTTCCTGTGTTAAGTACTATGGACAAAGAACTCTTAAAATCCATTCCTAAAACAATTAATGCTCAAGAGTCTATGCATAATCGGTATTACATGACTGGGTCAATCCAACAATCAATAATAACGGGTTTGGAAAACTTGCTTCTATTTGTAATTACTTTAGAATCAGATTATGGAGATCGAATTAAAGGTCATCAATTGCGATATGGTGAATTGGAACGTTGGAAGAAAGTCGCAGAAAAGTATGGCACAACCAAACCATATCGTGGCAAAAATTTAAAAAAAGGTGCTGGAATTAAAGATAGAAGACCTCCAGACACCACAAAAGATCTTTTGAATAATAACATAGAAAATAGTCAAAGAAAAGCAATAGTTCCGATTTCCAATAAAAAGGAGATCAAGCAATACCAATCTTATCCCCACTTCCACAACTCATGTTATATAACATCATTCTTGGAAATACTTTATAACTATTATTTAACAGACCAAGAGTGGTGGTCTAATAATGTGGGGACAATGATTAATGATAATTCAGGACTTAAAAAAATATATGCTAGTTTTATAATGAGAGGACAATTAACCAACAAAAGCAAGAAATCCAGCTATAGTGATGCAAGAGAGGTAGTTCGTCAATATATCTTAGAAAAAAAATGGCAACAAGATGGAGAGTATGGTTCATTGACCTTATGGTATGAAAAGATAATTAAGGAGAATGATTCATTAAATATTTTATCATATTTTTGTCCTCTGGGTATAAGAATTTGGAAGTGTGAGTCAGGTCATATCCGAATTGCTCCAACTCCTATGACACCATTAATTCTAATTAATGGATTAGAAGATTTCAATACACCATTCTTTGATGAAAATAAACATTTGATTGGACAAATTTCAGCACTTTTTGCTCAAAAAGATGGGTTTATTTTAAGTGAACATCCAAATGAGCCTTGTCAGCATTCACGTGTAAATATACATGAATGTGAGAAAAGAAAAATAAATCATGAGGAATTCATAGTATCTTGGCCTAAAATATTAATTTTCGAAATTACCCAAAGAGATAATGGTAGTTCTAATTCATCAGAGAGTTTGAATTTTCCTCTTCATCTAAACTCTGGATGCTTGAATTATAGTTTATTAGGACGTGTATATAGTACTTCTACAAGTGGAAGTCATTTTTATAGTAGATTAATAAAAAACTTTAATGAAAATATTGGTATTTACAAATATGATGATCTTAATGGTGGGATTGCGATTTTAGAATCAAATAATCCAATTTCACTAGCAGGGGAACAACAATTAGCAACTTTGGTTGCATATAATCTAGAGGAAGACAATTTGGATTATTTTAATAGTAAAACAAGTGAGTATTAAAAATATATATAATGTCTAAAATGGTAAAATATTCTAATATTTTCATTTATTTGTAGATATTTTAATAGATAAATTAAGAAATTATAACATTGAAATTCCTAATAATATTACTTCAGGAATGAAATGTAAGGTTTCATAGAGATTTTGGTTCAATGATTTGTTTCATTATTATTTTATTATTAACTTTTCATTATCTTTAGTGATGGAATTTTTTATGGATAAATCAAATCAATATCACACGATTTCAAGGTAAAAAAATTTACATGTATTGTTATATACTACAAATAATAATAATTAATCATTATTTATTAATTAACATCAGTTCTAACAATAGAGTTGAAGGCCCAAATACTAGTGATAAAAGGTAAAAATTGTCATTGAATTTTCTTTTTTACTTCATAATAAATTTTAACCTTAGGTTTATTTTAGAACTAATAAAAAAGAATGTGATAAAGATCTCCGAAGTAGCAAAAGAACTAAAACCAAAAAAACTTTTCCTGATTATGTTATTTATTAAAATATTATAATTCAACTTAGATTTTTAAATTATTTTATAAAAATAATAAAAAATGAATTTTTACACCCAAGTATTAATTATGTAAAAACGCACATAATAAAATTTAACTTTTGGTTTTGGCAAATATTAATATATTTCATATACTACATGGAAAAAGGGGTCCGCCCCATTTTACCAACAAGCATTGTGTTAATATTAACAATTTGCCAAGGACTGTGTGAAGACCTGGATAACTCTATGTAGAAGCTAAAAGTTATGCATAAAAGGCTGATTTTTTTTACAGACAAGTTAAATCAACTGTTGATTGAATATTGACCTTGCCTTACAAATCATTAACTAATAACACAACTTATTATCCCCCTCACTTTGCATCAAAAACCAGTTCATAAAAATACAATATAGATACATGTGTAGCATTTTTTTTTTTTGTCTGATGAATTGATAAAAATTGCATATTCGGACTTAATTGTTTTTATTAAATGTAATTAATTTATTGAACATGTTATTTTTAATTGTTTTATATAATTTATTTATTTATTAACATACAATTAATTTATCAACCATGTTATTTTTAATTGTTTTTATTAAATTTATTCATTAACATGTAATTAATTTATCAACCATGTGATATTTTTTATGGTATACATGTGGTCAAAATTAAAAGTCCTGTGATGCAATTGGTTCTCTGTGAGACGCAATTCGTGACGCGAGACGCAATTCGTGAATGATGGAATATGCACTGTCTTACAATAGCATTGTAATAATTTAATTTTCGCTGTTATCAAATTATGACAGTTTTTACAAATTTTATGTTCAATTTTCCAAATACAATCCTAGAAGTCAAATTACTTCTAACAATCAATAATTACATCCGTATATTTATATAAAATTACAATAAAGAATTAATTAATAAAATAAATGTATCTTATGTTTCCCGGGATGCTTAAAGTAACATATTAATATTAATAAAAGTCACAAATTATGTAACATTTTCCCAAATTACCAAAAAATAAAAAAACCCGATCACGGATTGCATCTTGCATCAGTCATAAAAATTATGATGAGTGACGCAAGATGCAATTTTACAGATTTTTAATTGTGTCTGACGCAATTCAATAATTTTAGTGACATGTATAGTTATGAATGCAAAAAAATTTTATTTATTTATTAAAGTATACTTTTTGTAATTAAAGCACAAAAATGTGTTTAAAGTGCAAAATTCATCTGATGGCTTGATTGTAAGGTTTCTACATAAAAACGTTAAAAAGCCCAAATTGCCAAAATAGTTCAAGCTTTGAGAAACAGTTTGGGCTAGAAACCTTACTTGATTGTTGGTAAAGTGTCCCAGATCCAAGCCAACATTAAATGTTAATCCCAATAACAATGATAATAAAATTAAGAGCAATAATTGACTCAATAATCTCACAGAAAAGCTTCACATTTGTTTGTGTAGTGTATATCTAAATTACAAAGTTTTATGTCCACCTGTCCTTTTTAAGAAATTATATAAAAGGGACATGGACAGGTAATTGTGGCTGATGCTCTGTCCCCTGTCCTTTTCAATAATTTACTAATAAAATCTGAAAAAGGACAGAGAACAGGCAACCTTGCCCTTTGCTTGTGCCACAACTGTCCCTCGAATTTACCTGTCCTTTTTAATGTTTTCATGTAAATCAACTGTCCCGCAACCTGTCCTTTTATAGATTCCAGGAGTAATTATTGAAAAGGACAGGGGACAGGGCATTCCCTGTCCCTGTCCTTTTCTAGCAGCCCTAAAATTAGGAAGAATGGAGGGGAACAAATTTTAGAAGAAACATCACCTAAACCACCCACCAAAATTGATGAATATCTAGATGAATTTAGAGTACCAAGAGATGATGAAAAAGTATTACCCAAAATAGATGGAGATGAAGACAAACAATTGACAACTATTTTGAGTAAGTTAAAGGTTACAAGACATAATAATACTTTTGAGTATTATTATCTTCTTGGAAACTTATTGAGGAATACTCTGCAACCATAAGAAGGAAAATTCATCAAAAATACCAGCGTAATTACAACAAGAGTGGAAAACTCATCAATTTGGTGAAGAAGACTGTAATGTTATTCGATACAGTAGGATTATCCTACTCAAACGTCCTTGGAACCTTCGGGAAATGACAGAGGGAAATTTTGAGAAATTAATGATAGGGATAAGAGTAATTGTAGCTGAACGATTAGAAACTTCATTGCTCTTGGATGATCTATTAAGAGATTTTACTTTTCCTGTTTCACAGGAGCTCAATGCTTGTGCGGAGGTGATGTCACCGAAATGCGAATTTGACCTTAATAGTCACAGGACATGTCACATCAATTGATTTTCTATATGTGAAAATAAATTCGAAATTCGTGTCACATGAAGTTTTTTTAAAATATCTCGTTATTTTTATAATAAACTCGAACTTTGTTGTTAGAGTAAAATGAAAGTACTCCATTAAAGCTTTCTAATGAATACTCTTTCATATCAAAAGGTCTTCTCTACATGAATTCACTGCTATTCCAAAACGGTATTACTTTTTCACTTCAAAGCTCAGATTATTTCTCAATATCGCTTTAAAAGACTTGATAGTAAATGAGAAGGTGTAGAATACTTTAAGCTTTCATATGGTCATTACTTTATGGGGGGTATTGGTTAATAAGTTTTAGAGAGGTTCACGAAAAACTATTTTATAGAAATTTAGTAGTCATGAAGAATTTTTGTAGATGGGATTCAGCAAAAACTAAAAGGTATTTTATTAGATTGTTTTATATTTCTGACTTTATATTGATTAAAGTTTCATTAATGATTATTATGAATATCTATCAATCAGTAGTTGTTATATATATATAGCAACATTGAACAATAATATTAGTAGCAAACAACAATAACGAATCATCGTTTTTTGAGGATGATAATAAAGATTAAGATCCAGTTTGTGTATGAATGATCAAAGTAAGCATTAAGGACAAGATCTATTAACAAAATATAATAACAAACGTTTTATTAATTATTCAATAGTTTGTGTAGGAGTGATTGAAGTAAGCATTAAGGACAAGATCTATTAACAAAATATAATAACAAACGTTTTATTAATTATTCAATAGTTTGTGTAGGAGTGATTGAAGTAAGCATTAAGGACAAGATCTATTAACAAAATATAATAACAAACGTTTTATTAATTATTCAATAGTTTGTGTAGGAGTGATTGAAGTAAGCATTAAGGACAAGATCTATTAACAAAATATAATAACAAACGTTTTATTAATTATTCAATATTTTGTGTAGGAGAGTAATATATATGTGGGCTTTTTAGGACAATTTACGTGTTTTTTCGGTTAACCTTGCCTATTTTCTATAGATTTAAGCTTTTTATCTTATTCTTGATAACCTTTTTTTGATATATATAAATCGTTTTTTTTTAACCAAAAATAACCAAAAAATGCTATCTTATTTGATTACTAAATCGTTTTCTGTCTCAGAGGAGCATAGCGACTCCAATGCGAAGCGTAGCGGAGCATTAGTTATCTGTTTAGTTTGCAATTAGCTTTCTATCACTGTGAACATGAACCTTTAGGTGAATGTGAAACAGTCTGCGAAGCGTAGCAGAGCATAGTTATCATATTTGTTTACTAAAGCGTTTTCTGTTCCGGAGGAGCATAGCGACTCCGGGTGCGGAGCATAGCGGAGCATTAGTTATCTGTTTAGTTCGCAATAGATGCTAGCAAATTTAACAAAAAAAATTTCAACAGAGCCTTGATATATATTTCTATACATTAGCTTGAGCACCGCTCTAAAGCTTTTTCACGAAGCCTTTGATAATAAGATGCAACATAATATCCTCTTTTATGAATTTTACATCGACCACAAGCAGAAGCAGTTGGTTTTCCACAATCAGTACAGGGTACACATTTTTTACACTTATAATGAAGACGACATCCCTCAGGACGTGTAGATAAAGCACCACAAATCTTACCCGAATTATGTAAATAGTAACAAATATATTCACCGATCATATTTGATTAGGATAAATAATTAATTAAAGTAAAGATTTTATAAAGTAATATATAATACTTTTTATACACAATGGTTAAAAATACTACTTGTGATAGATGTGGTTTAAAACTATCCACTTATCAGAAATATCAACAACATTTAAATCGGAAAAATCCCTGTCGACCAAAGAATCCCCCTCAAGCTCAAACAGAAAATGCTACACCAGGGCAAAATGCACCTCAAGTAGGAAATGCTATACCGGAGCAAAATCAAGTCCCAGTACCGATCCCAGAAGGCGATCTCATATCATTTAATGAAAACCCACCTACGCACCAGCCGAGAGAGGCAAGCGCGCCGGCAGTCGACCCTGGGATAGGATCTAGTACAAAGCGAAACAAAACTATCCTGATCTATAAAAATATACCAAATGGAATCGAGTTTTATGATAAAAAAAGAAAATGGTATGGAGTTAAAGAAGATTTTCGTACATTATCTAACAAATATTATTTTATTAAAGCAGATAATAGTGAAACCATTGAAGAAGCATATAAAAGAATTAATGAAGAATCAGAAGCTATAGCAGAAAAAACAAATGGACTGGTCGATATGCGGAAATCTGGAAGTTATACTTTGACAAGTTTAAAACTTTTTCGAGAAACAACTTTAGCACCGAACAGAAGAGGAAAAATCGATGAGAAAGAAAATGCATGGTTAAATTTAGCAACAACTGGTGCTTTAGTATTTGCAGAGAAATATGAAGGAGAAGCTATTCAATATGACGTAAATTCGATGTATATATATGAAATGTTAAAGAAAGAAGCATCATGGCCAATTACTACAGGTAAGTTTCATACTATAGACGTATCTTTAGTGGAAAAATGGAATAAATTTCCATATGGAATTTTTAAAGCAACAATAGAAGGAAAACCTCCGAAGAAAAGCTTGCAATGCACTAGATATTTACGATATAATCCACATGGAATTTATA